CACCTCACCGTGCCGGGCGCCGCGCCGTCGGCCAGCGCCGCCGTGGCAGCCGTCGCGGCCGCCGCCGCCACCGCCAACTCCGCCAACTGCACCAGCGCCGCGGTGCTGCGCGTAGTGAAACAACGCGCCAGCAAGAACCTCCCGCTCACCATCCGCGACGTAGAGCGGGAGCGCGGTAAGCCCCTGTCCAAGTACGAGCGCAACATGATGATCTTCAACTGGCTGCACACCCTCGACGACTCCTTCGAAGGCCTGCAGTGAAGAGGCGACGTTGCTGTCGCCGCGGACGACGACCGTCTGCTTTTTTCGCCTTTTGTTGTTTCGTTGTTCACTTGTTTGTTGCAGCTCGGTTTCGGGAACGGCCTGAGGTCCCCGAAATATGGTTTTTGGAGCCGCGACGAACGAACCTCCGTTCGTTCTTTGATTGCGAGCGGTTTTTGTTTTAGGGGTTACACTGCTTCAGTCGTCCATACGTAAAAGTAAAATGCAGAGGTTACCTCGTGAATGAAATAGAAATGAAAATTAATGAATGTTTTAATGCATATCTAACGCAAGAAAAAGTAAAAAAAAATGTTTTCAGAGTCTTATTTATGTTGACCAGTTAAGATATTTATGTCTTTTGAAACAAATGACTCAGTGTAGACAAGAGTTCAATCCCTTCCCTAAGATGTAGAAAAATGAATTGTCAGGTATGTAGAGACAATTAACAGGAATAATTAGAAAATATTCCCTTTTGTGTTCTTGATGAATGTTTCATCACGTTTCTTGAATTTGAGGAAGTAGAGTACATTAAAAATATTGTATTTGCTCCTGGACTGAATAATGTAAAATTAATCAAATTTCTAATAAGCTCCTTGCCCAGACAGCTCATTTTGTGGCCTAGAATTTAATCTATAAAGAGGAAGCAAAAGAAAAAAAACATTTCAGTTTCTATTTTAAAAATTATGATTAGTTTTGGTCATGTATGAACCATTGTGACTACACTAAGAGATTGTGCAAGTGAAGCACTTCTAAAAACACTAGCATTTTCCATAAAACACAATTACCTATGTGTTAATTACAGGTTCAAAGATTATTGTCCAATATAAGAAATCATATTTTTTGTGCACTTCAGTTACATGCAGTTTTCAGCATGTAACCTTTACTGATACTATGACTTTCTTTCAGAATAATGTAAATGTACTAAGTGACACACTGCACTGAGTTTTCTTCCATGATGCCAAGATGCCAATGTTTTCATTATATATACAATTTATTTTTTCTCATATATTTAATGAAATGTTTAGGTATGTGCCTTTCAGTTAAGAATTTAAATTCTACTGAGACTTATTCTTTGAGAAGGATCTTATAGCTTCTTATTTACTCTCTAAGAGAAAGGAAAATACTTATTTGCATAAATCATGATGGTATGTAATTTCTATTGAAAGACTGAAATAGCCTATAAAGCTTCTATAAAGAAGCGGGAAGTAGATGTAAGGAAGGATTACAAGACTAAAAGTTGGCATTGACTAACAAAATTAATATTCTTTAATGCATTTTTGCGAATTTAAAAAAAGCTTTTTTTGTTTACCTGCAGACAGTGATGTAAATTCCTGTATTTTGCATTCCCTGCACTTTACACTTCATGTGTTGTTATCCTTTCTTGCACATTACTTTCATAAGAAATATTATAAGATGTATTAAAGATGTCTTTATGTTTGTAATTCTGCAATTCAAACTATATTATACTTTACATTCCACATTGTTTTAGTGCTTGTGCAATTATTCTGCATTGTGGTATTGCGCTTATAAGTACTTCTATGGTTGTATGTGTTGTAAGTGTTCGTTCCCTCGTTCCACCCATCGGCTTTAAAGACCTCGCACTAGATTTTCGAGGTCCGCCCTCTCTCCCTCTTCTGCTCTCGCTGCCTCCCCCGTATGGTATCTCTACGGTCACCCTCTCCCCCTTCGAGCCAGAAGCGCTCCCACTCCCACTCCCACCACCGCCACCGCAGCCGCTCTCGTCCCGTCTGGCCGCCGCCGCCACCACCCTTCCTGTGCAGCGCAGTAACCGCCACCGCCAACTCCCCTTCCTTCTCCTCCTCACCATCAGCCCGTCCTCGCCTTTGACCTTTCCACGACGAGCGCGGGCGGAGGAGAGATCGAGGCTTGGAGGCAGGGGCGGCGGCTGCGGCGATCCGTTGTGTCGGTGGGTGCGCCCCTGCGGGGGGTGGGGTGGGGGGTTGGAGGGTGTTGATAAAGGGGGTTGGCGTGGGCGGTAGTGGCGTGCTACGGGGACGGAGGCAGTGAACTCAGCGAAACCGCGGAGGAAGGGGGGCAGCGTTGCGGTGGCGGTCGCGGTCTCGCCACGCCGACGGCTTCGCGATCGATGCTGCAGAGCTCGAACACGAGGCTTGCTCTCTCCCTCTCTCTCGTTTAGTTTACTCGCTGCTGCTGCTTCCGCCGCCGCCGCCGTCGTTGTTCCCCCTCACTCCCACACCGCCCCCTCGCCTCCCGCTCTTCCCCGCCATCGCTGCCAACTCCGCCTATGACACCGCCCCCGCGTCGACATCATTCCCTGCGTCACAGCTCCTCACTCCATCGGTCACTGCCCTAAGAGCGTCCCTGCCAGTTCTCACCAGCCGCTACCACCTCTCCGCCATCGCTGCCTCCCCCCCCCCTGTGACCTCCGCCAGTGTCAAGGCCCCGACAGTCCTGTGTCCGCAGTAGCTTGCCCCTCTGCCTGCTCCGCCGAGTCCCGCGACTTTCCCCGCTCTCCCCACACTCACTCCGTCGGTAGTTCGCGGCCTCACGTTGCATTTTTAGAATGTGCTAGTGCATTTCCCACTCGAAGAAGCGCTGTTGCCAACGACTTGGCTGCCCCACTGGTCGCGTCCAACGGCCAATTTCACTTGCGGTTTCTTTGTTAACTAAATTTATTTCAAATTTAACTGCACTATTGTGTTTTCTCATGTGGATGTATTGCATTATTAAAGGCTAACGTTAAGCCCTACAGAACCATTGTAGTTGCACTGAGCGTTCTGGTTTGTAGACGGTGTTTTCTTTATGTACTATGTATGCTAAGTAGATTCATTCCTTTGTAGTTGGATAGGAGTTTGGCCTTTGACTCGACGTGGAGCAGAATAAGGAGTAGGTCCAAATAAGGCCAGAAGTCACGTGTGCCAAATGATCCAGAACTTCTATGTTCCTATTTCGTATACCAAAGTCGCATATTAATGCGAGATCATAAAACTATGAATTGGATTTACTTAAATTCTACCGACATTTTTTGAACTGGTGCCAAATTTTGTGACATCGCGTCGAAATTTCGTAAATAAATTGTAGTCAGAATTGAAACTCCAAGTCTGTAGACTATTTCCCTTTTCTAATTTCATATTAATATCCAAAAACGGTGGATAATGGTGAACAACTGCTGGTATTGACTGAAAGGCTAGCGACTAATGTACTATTCAGATACTATCTTACATGCATCTATGTAACGTTCAGCATCAATACTATTTTACGATATTGACCAAGAAGAAAAGATTAGTTTTTAAAATACCTACATGACATTATCACCCGTCAAACTGAGAAAGTCTAACGTTACGAACATGCATCCCTCCGATAAGTTGAAGATGGTGCGAGTGGATGTTAGGGCGGGGGAATTAATAGAACAGCTGAATTAAGATACTTCGATATTGATTTTCCAAGTGCTGCCGCTAGCGATCTCAAGTTGTTTTTGCACAGTATGCGAAATAAGCGAATATTGTTCGAGTCAAAGAGCATGCTGTTACAGGGTTGACGCGAAATAAATTACTGTTGTGTACGCAGTTTGCTGCATTAAATTAATACCTCTTGTGAAGTATTTTTTGTGAAGTTTTAAGTTCCTGTCCTCTCAACACAACTCTCCTTCTTGATCCTTCTTTGTCTTTGACCTGTGGGCTGGGATATCAAGTCTCAAAATAAAGGTTTGCAAAAAAAATCTATCTACATAAATCTATGCAACATAAAATATTAATGAACAGCTTGTTTTGTCTATTTACAGTATTTTGTTAATTTGTTTTACCACTGTCACAAGGGCAGCTTTGCAAATATAATTATTATGGAGAAGGAATATTTTAAAACACAAGAAAACTATTTTTTTGAAATTAAATTATTTACAATAACTATTTAATTTATGTGATACTTTCAGTTCCTGTAGTTTTATTTACATTCAATTTGTAAGAAGTTTCAACTATATTTTTAAAATCTGAAAGTTCATTTTTAACAGACACTCCTCCAAAAAAATTAGAATTTTGCTTTTTGAAGCTTTGTTTAAACTTGATGTTCTTATACAAGCCGTAAATCTTTGAATAGAAACAACCTAGTTTACTTCCTTATTGAAGGAATTTTTCATCCTAATTTTATAAATTTCTCGACAAGTATGTTGTTGTTTTTTCTTCTTGAAAATTAGAAATAAATATTTGCTATCTACATTTCAGAACATGACATAATAAAACATGCTATTGGCCTTCTGAATGACAATGTTATCAGAGCACTCAAAATGTCATGAACAAGCATTTCCTAACATTTTGTAAAACTTATTTACATACTGTGTAATTGAAATCTGAACCAAAGATTTACAATGGTACTTGGAAAAACCCTTAATATAGGAGAAATGTATTCTTTTTCAAGCAGAAATCAAATATTTTATAGAAATCATTAGAAGCCGTTGAAACTTCTAAACCAAGGTCATTAAAAGCACATTAGTTTTGATAAAAAGTAAAAATCTAGGTTAAATTTGCAGTTGATTTTACGAAATGATTTTCAGAAATTTTCATTATTAATAACAAATTCCATTCTTTATCCTTTTTTAAGTATTTGAAATGTTATGTTCAATTTTTTTACAAACAAAATATATCAATGGACATTTTTTACAGAAACTGTCCAGAAAACAAAAATACTGTCGTAAAACTTGTAGTAGATGATTGGCATTGTTATAAAAAATCTATAACAATATTTTATTGAAATATTGACACTTTCATTAACTGGTGCAGTATTTGTTTTATAAGAAATATGTACTACATTGTGCATTTTTTGCTAACTAGTCTTAGGCCTTGTAGAATTTGTTCATAGAATGAATTATCATAAGATGTTTTAACTAAGAAATATTTTTTTTCGAAAGGCTTGAATTAGAAGATATCTATTCAAAAAATGAATGATATTTATTAGGAACTATTAATTTGGAAACTTAATTATGTCTGTGAAAGGTAAGAAATCATTTGATATTAGATGCATAGTCATTATTTTGTACGGTTTTAAATGTACTACTTACCGCTTCAGCAACTAATTTGATCTTTGTAACATCTCGGGAAAAATATTGCAGGAAAAATTTAATTGTTTATTACTTAGAATGAAATTAATTGAAAGTTGAATATGTTTACAAAATAAAGATAAATTTATTTATACCAATTACAAGATGATGTTTGTTCTTCAAAGAAATGTTAACTTCATATATCCGTCACTTCATTCAAAGAACTTCTTAGGCCACACTTTTAGTTTCAATCATGAGATTAAGAAGGCTTTTTAATGTAATTATACAATGACTTAAAATATTCTCTCTTACAGCTAAACAGGAAGCATCCAGGACACATGAGTTTCTTAAACTGGAAGGTTTATTTTCAGATTGAGCAAGGAGCACTATCCGTAAAGAGTAAGTACTTTTTAGTAAAAAATTATAATTGTGAGATTTACCAACTATTTAGTAAGAATTATACGTTTCTTCACATTAAATTACATCCCTTAAAGCTATTTTACCAGAAAACTAAGATAATTCCTGAGTAAAATTTGACATTGTTTTCTACATTTTTATAAGTAAGCATTACACTGGATACCAAGGTGGAACATAATCTTTTAAAGAGTTCTTGGAGTTAGTTTTTTTGTCCTCCCGTTCTTCTACTTGATCTAACCATTCTTCGAATGCTTGAGCAGCTTCATACTCTCTCTCTTTTTTCCTAGTGGTGATTTCTTCTGCCCTTTGTTTTGATTTTGATCTGCAATTAAAAATGTATTCACACAAAATAATGACAATGGTACTGTTCAGTAGAATATTTGAAAAGGAAATAATAGAAATATACTTAGTTACCAAGGAATAAAAAGATCAAATACTAAAATTTATGTATATAAATACCTTTTCATTTTTAAGGATTCTTTTATTTCCTTGTCTTTGTCTGTTTTCCATTTTATGAAACAGGCTTTTGCATTTTCTCTTTTCACTTTTGCTTCTTCTTCTTTCTTTTCCTCTTCCTTTTTTTTCTCCCTTTCCTTTTCTTTTAAATGTTTTTTCAATTCTTCATCAACTTGTTGTTTCCATGCTCGAAAAGCCTTTGCAATAAAATTAAAATAGTATGCTTATGCAGTATTTTATGGCATTGAAAAATATTTTTAATATATTATTTATTTACCGCTTGTGCTGCAGCTTTCTTTTCTTCTTTATCTTTTTTGTGTTTTTCCTCTTCTACCAATTTCTTTTTGATATTTATTTTTGCCTTAATTTCTTCATCCTTTTTTGCTTTCCATACATCAAAAGCTTTGTCTCCTCCAGGTTTCTCCTTTGCATAAGGTGAAGGTTTAGCACCTCTAAAATTAAATGTCATTTTAGCATTTTAATCCATGGAAGGATAATATATGCAATATGACAATTTTTGTTTCTCAAGGAAATTAAGATGTGGTTTTCTTCTGCATGCATGTATGGAACATGCGCACAACATCAATAACCTACTTGTTGTTAGCTTCTTTTTGTTGCTCTTTGTGAAGCTGTGCTTTCCTTTTCTTCCATTTTTCAAAATTTTCTTCTGCTCTCTGTTTTTTTTCTAACTTAATCTAGGATTTAGGAAAGAAATTAATTATTCTTCTTTATCTTTTTTTTTTTAAGTATAATATTTACATTTTATGGCTTACGCACTTCATATACATACCCATTCTATTTCCTGTTCTCGCTTTCTCTGAACTTCCTCCTCCAGTTCTTTTCTTACTCTACTTTCTGTTTGCTTTCTGAAGTACCATTCTTCATAAACAGCTCTTGTTAGAATATCACGATGCATTTTTTCTGAAAATATTTTATTTACATATTATTTAATTATAATCTGTCTTACCGCAGCAGACCATTGAAGTAGACCAATGGCCAGGGCTTCAACAATGTAGGTACAGTCTTACAAATAGAGATTCATAATTTAATTTTTATTAATCTGTGTGTATTTGTACTTCTGTTAAAATTAATTTGATTAATATTTTTAAATGTAGAAAATATGTCATAAATTAAGCTCTTTTCTTGAGTGATAAAAGTCTTGACACATTAAAGATATGATTTTTCATTTATCAGAATTATTTACGTGCAGTGAAAATATAAAAGTAAATAGGAAACTATTATTTGTAGAAAAACAGACAGTTTTTTACAAACTTTTTAAAATGAAAACAAATTACCTATGGCCTGAACTGTTGGTAAACCAGACTCCTGCACAGCATTTCTAAGATTTGTTAAGGAGACGCTGCGCTGTTTAAGTTGAGTTGAAAATGTTGGGGTTGCTCTTCCTCTACAAAATGTATGGCACTTTATAATGAAAAATTGCTTTAACAAAGTATCATTACCATTGTATAATTGTTTATCTACCATTGCCTTACCTTTGAATTTTGATATCATTGCTTTTGGTCTTTACACAATTTAATCCCAAATCTGATTCCTTTAAACCTAGTAATTGTAAGCTCCTTTTAAATGAAGTCACTGTACTTTTTTGTTCTGTAGGAGTTGCAAGGCGTTTGCATAATCTTTGTTCTTCAATGCTGCGCCGCCTGGAAATAAGTTCATGATTAACATTTTCTAAAATATTACTGTAGGCAAATGACAACATTAACAATGCGTCAACAAACTTTTATTATTGTTGCATAGACCTATCTACAATTTTCAAAAAAAACTCCCACATACCTCGTAAAAACAGGATCATTCCATGCCAACCATTGACCATGTTTTGAAGTCAATAATGCAGGTTCAAGAATACCGTCTCGGCCCCGCAAATGTCGTAGGTTGCTGATAGGTCTCTGGAGTACTGGATCTCCTAATTTACTGGTCAATTTTGCATTAGAATGTTCTCCGAGACTCCTAAGTATTGTGAATTTGCTATCACCTTTTGTGTAAGTTGCGCCAGATTTCTCGCTACTACTTGCGCTAGTTTTTTCGGATTTTTTTTCCGGAGTACCTACTACAGACGAAGCCTTTTCGTCTTCTGAACATATGCTTCCATTGCGACTCTGAGGTCTTAAATCGCTTATACTTGTTCTTGTCATGATGAATAAATTCTTGTGTGTCAATGTTTACGTTCGCACAGTTGAAGAAAGCACATGCTGTTGTAAGCATGATTCGCTCGGGTTCCTCGTTACTGAGTTCTGGTTTCTCCCATTGTGACATCATCGTAACCATGGCAACAGAACGTCGATAATCGATTTTGTGTGCCCACTTCCATCTGCTTGAAAGGGAGACTTTTTAACTGCTATAAGACCGTTTCTGAACACCTGTGAGAATAATACTAGTATACACCCTATTATCCTATGTTTCTCTAGCCTGTAGCGGCGGCAGGGGAGGGGGCAGAAAGAGCGTTGATCAAGAGAACTAAATATCGTGAATGGCCTGCGATTGCGAATTCAACTCATAATTACTTTGCCAACAATTATCAATGAGAGAAATGCAGGAAAGAGCCGTGAAATTTCTTTAGGATGACAACCATGCGAGAAACTACTGTCCTTCCTAAAGAGTACCACGCTCCCCCCACCCCGAAACAGAAGCCGGACAACGGTGCTAATGGTACTAATCATAAACACATTTAAACATCTTAAAACATTTTTGCATTCTTACTTTTCTTGCGTACTACATACGTTGTATAGATCAAGTTACGTAATACTGCAGCGAAACACAGCGATTTTTCGGTAGAAAAACTCACATTGCAGGTCCCTGATACTCAAAGAGTTCGTGTACCTAGTTACGTACTTACTCTAATACGTTTTGTAGCCAGAATTTACGTTTTGTGGGTTCTTGAAACCGAAAAATTGCTTTTTTTACGACAAAACGTGATCGTCTGTCAGTCTGATCCTCTATTTGTGAACAACGGTAGCGGCTAAACCTTTAATAGGATTTTTACCAACATTTATATTCCACGAGTTATCTGGCTGATGTCGCAGCCCTTTAAACTTGAAATAAAGAGATTAATTTTTAGCGGTACTTTAAATGAAGTCTCAACATTTTCAAAATTTACTCAAAATGGCTCCAATAAAAAGAAATAAATTAAACAATGTGTGCCTGCGCGTACGCGCGCCCGTATGAAGAGCTCAGTGAGAGGTAACTATAAGCCACACTTCAGCAGTTTTAAGATATCGTTTTTTAAAAGTTTGGCGAAAACATGCTAAACAATAGAGAACCAAGATAGGCGTTGTCATGCCATATGGATAGTAAATGGAAACGTAATTCTGAATGGGAATATGGTTCCTCACATATATTCGTGGTATTATAAACATTTACAAAAATCAAAGTTGTTACTACATCCCAAAGATCCCTTCATTCGTACATCAAGTCACTATTGGGTTTGAAACACATTTGTTATTATATTGTATATTATTTTTGCAGTGTGTACCGGGTATTTGCTTTAACTTCCAACCCATATCTGAGAACACTACCCAGACAATTTGGCAACGCGTAAAATACCTTCGGCATCCCTTTCACTTTTAGCGACTCCCAGCTGCGTGCCCTCGGATTTTGGACTGGGAGAATGTAGCTAATTTTAGTTGGAAAAAAGAGAAAGCACTTATTCTGTACTCGTTACTCTTCAACATGATGCAGCCATTTCACTGTAAAGAGTAAACGCACACGACTTCACAAGGCAAATGGTAGTCACTTAGAGCATTTACTCTAAGGTCAGTTTATTGTCATCTTAAGGAAATAATATATTATTTTTATTAATTATTTTCAATAGTTATTAATTTACTATTTATTTATATTTTATTATTTAATTTGCAGGTTCCATAATAATAATAATATTGTTATAAATATTAAGAACTTGGCGGTAATGTACCACAAGAGGTTTTTCTGGTTTCTCTTTGAGCCGGTTTTCATTAAATAAAACTTATTGTCACGTTGCTGTTAATAAATTGATAAATCAGATTGATAAAACTTCCCTCCACGCCTTCAATATTACAGTCAGTAGCATAACGAAATGAGGGAGAGTCTGCACACCAAGACATTTATCCAGGCCCTCGTTTTGTAGAAAACGAGGAACGTTTTGTATAAAAGGGTGTAGTAAACACAAGTAGTGTAATAATAAAAATTTAAAAAAGTTAAATAATAAAAATATCCCCTAAAACGGGCCCTTTTTCTCCTGGGCCCGCCCGCATTGTGTTATTCCAATAATTACAGTTTTGTTTCCTAGTCATACCAGACAGAAACGCCTAGAGACGTTTTATTTGCCTGCGCATGTCTCTGCCCACTCCCGCTGCCCTGCGCAGCGCGAAAAGATTCGGGCATAGGAGCCGCGAATCTGCGCGCCTAAACTCTTGAATAGGCAAACAGAAACAGGAAAGTTGCTGCTGCTTATGACCTGAGGCTCACCGTTCAACCCCGCTGCTTTCTCGAAGTGCCAGCCAGCCACGTTGGTCTTGAAAGGAGGCACAGACATGCGGTTGCCAAATTGCCAAAACAAGAACAGATGCTTCTGGACAATGGTTGCAAGTTAAGGTAAAGATCTGTGTATGACACTATAGAATATTATTTTTTTAAATAATTAATTATAATTCTAACATAAATGTACAATTTTTTTGTAAGACATGAGTAATTTTTGCGTAATATGCCTTTGAAATTATCGCAAATTTGTTCTCTTAAAAATTGCTTCAAATATTTTCTTTAAATTTTCTCCACATATGTAATAAGGGACCATAAAAATATGGTGTTCGTCCCAGTTTCGGAAATTGCTCTGTTATTCGAAAATCGCAATTTTCTATATACTACAAAATTGAAGATACCTCAGATAAAGGCCGACATTACACTGTAAAATATATTTGACATATATCTTTAATGAACTTTGTGGAAGTTCTTTGATCTCTGGAGAAGGAAACTGTGACAAAGAAATTTGACGAACATGTTACAGATCGTCCTATACTTTATGTAGTTTTGCTCGTGATTCAACATGGATGACGCACAAATAGTTGTGTTTGTGCTACATTATGCTTAATAATAACTCGTCTATGTTTAATCAACGGCACTAAGATAGCGTTGGTTTAATGCTGAAGTAAAAGGTAAAGAGGAGACGTTTGAGCATGAAGCTATGGGTCGCACATTTTGAAGCATAAATTAAAGAACTTAGAAATGAAGAATTATTTGAGGATGGACGATTCAATTATCTTTGTCATTCTTCTTCCTTCTTTCGAAATTGGGTCCTCTGATTTTGAAGTTTAAAAAAAACTAACTTCATGAATTGGGCATATTCCAAACTACACGTTTTCCACTTCTCGGAAAAATATGGCATACTTGTCAATTCGTTTGGTTTTTATTTTTGTAGCCCCGTTGTACAGTATTATATAAACATTTTAATTGCTCGTACTCCGCAATTAAAACTTTGGTTCAAGCAATACCTCACGTATACCTATCGGACGCCCTTTTACCAAATGTATGATAAAACTTGAACGCTTAAGACTACTTTTATCAAAGAAACTTTATAAAATTTATCTTTTATAAAATATTAGCTATTACAGTCATATCTTCTTTTATAAAAGACAAAGATCAAAATCAAAAAAATCAGATTATTACAAACCAAAGACTATTACATTGTCTTTGGGTAAAAAATATGGTGCTAGTCCCATTTTCGGATATTGCTCGTGATTTTTTTCGGAAATTGCAAAAATATATACAAAAGTACAGGAATGAAAACAGATTTTTGCCTGAGACAAAGTCTGTTGTACAGAATTAACTCTTTAAAAAATGGCATGTACAATTTTTTGTAAAATTTAGTAGTTTTTGCGTAATTTTTATTCGAAATTAATTAAGCATATATCGTCCCGTCGTACATAACGATAACATTTTAATATTGCGAGAAAATATGTGCTGGTTTAGCACCACTAGTTTTTACATTTTTATGTGTTGAGTCCATTATGCATAACTCCGTTTAATCGAGGAATAAATTGCACCGAGAAAGAAATCTCTGGCTTTAATATTGGAGGTGTAGGACTATACACATCGAAAGCAAGAGCTGTAGAAAAGTTGTATCGATTCACTAATTTGAAAATAGAAAACTCCCAAAACATAGTTTTAAGCCGATCTGTATTTATTCTCGAAAGCTAATAAAATGAGTTTACATTTTCTGGAACAATACAATCACTATTCACTCTGAACACAGAGTTGTACATGTTTCTGAAATGTAATAAATTTACCAAGCTAATTATAATCACGAAATGTTTTTGCGAAAGTGCACATTGCAAGCGATTCTTTCAATAGGTTACAACTCGCACAATGAAATACTGCCAGACCGATGGCAGATGAGCAATCATTATATTAATTTCAATATATTATTAACCTATATATTCCCGAAGTAATTTCGCCGCACGTTGCCCCTGTCCCTGTCGTCTCGCCCGTTCTCGCAAGGCCATTGTTGGAGATACGGATGTGTTTGCTACTTTTAGTAGTAAACCGTTGTTTTATTGCTAAATTATACCACAATGAAAATGTCTTTTCATCATGAATTAAAATACTAGAGCGTTCCAAAGCGCTCGTTATTTTTTTCTAATAATAGCAGTGGAAGAAGTAGCGATCTCGGATAGATCGTCATCTAACATTCAGGACTAATTCCTGAACTTGCTAATATGTTTCGTTTAGAATGTCTATGTCAATTGACGAAATACAATTTGCAGTGGAAGAATTGGAAATTTAAAAAAGATGTTGAAGTTGACTGCTCCATTTTGGGAGAAATAGGAATATACGGATTAAAATTTAGTGGTTGTTCTATAAAATCAATTAATACGAATGATAACTAGGGAACGGAATTTTTTGTAATAAAAATGCAAAATGTGTACATAGACTGTATAAGTATTCATTTTTATTACAAATTCTCAAAAAAATATAGGTTTAAAATTGCCCCATAAGAGCATTTTTAAATATTCGAACACAAAATGTAGCCCTTCAGACCTTAAAATCATTGGCCATTTATAAAAGTAATTTTCAGTGTTAAATAAATAATTTTTGCTTCCAAAAAACCTTTCGTGATCAAATATATTATTTACTGAGAATTACCTTGATAAGTTATTCTATTCGTATATATGCATAGTTAGCTTAACGTGATCTCTTACGGCAATCGCTGGCCATAAATATTTATAATATTCGTTCCATTTTCTGGAACGAATTTACGGTCTCTTTTGTCATATCTATATCGGTGAAACGTTTTATCACACATTATGGATTTAAATAAAAAGCGAAATAATCTTGTATAAAATAATTTTGACCTACAAGACAGACATCACGGAACGATTCCTTTATAAAATGTTGATATTTTAATATAGAGCAAGCTTTAACAAAAATTACATTTTCCAACAAAATGCCTGAAGCGAATGAAACTCGTAACTTGAAAACAAATGGAAATTTTTGAATTTGATTTCCACGTGGTGTACTGCATTCCAAAATACTACACAGTATTTACTCGAAGCTTACGATGAATTAAAGACTGTTCGGAACCACTATGATTTCTGAAAAATGATGAAGTAGAAATATCCAAAGTCTGGAAAGTAGAAGTGAAATTGCGCGATAAACGAGTGAAGAAAACGAAAATACATTTTGACCAACTTTGCGAGGATTTACGAACACTGATGGCGAACAAATATACATACTTAATGTTTTCATTGATGCTTAGATATTGCAATTAACCAGTTGGAGCGACGATTTGTTGGAATGAAAAATCCAGCGGCAATTTTCAAAGTGATTAGCCACAAGTTTTGCTAGCTCTTTCAGACCATGAAATTAACGAAAAGCACAAATTCTTCAATGAAAATTCCCTTCTGATGTTACGGAAAATCTGCTTCACTTATTGTGTTTGCGCATTTGTTTCAAGAGTCAAATTTCAAACTTACGATCAATTAAAGATCTTTCAAACTTGTTATTAATAATTGAACATAGGTCATTATTAAGTTTTCGCCAACACCGAAAAACATTTTCAAAATTAAAGCTCATTAAAAAGTATTTACGAAGTACAATGGCACTAGTATATTATCAACTGAGCATGAAGAAACGATGTAGTTGAAAAATAGTATTTCTATTGTCATTGATAAATTTGTAAATGCGAAGAATAAAAATGTAAAATTGAAATTATATCTTGAAATTGCCAAAATTATAATTTATTTTCTGTAATTTATTGTAATAAATGTTTCCACTTCTAAAATTCAGCTTATATTCACAACATTAAATTAATGACATGTCTTTATTTAGGGGGCAGCAACGGTTAATCCGTTTTAAGTGGTCCAGTACTGTAAATGCCAATGTAAAAAGCGCTTGATTTATGGGGAGCATGGTCCCCGAGCATGACCCCCCCCCCTCCGATTCCCCAATGGCTATGCATTGAGACTGTTCAAGTTCTACTCATAAACTGTATTTAAGATTGTTGCTGTGATTGGTAGTTATGTGGGTTTTCCAATCAACACCAGGCGAATGCCGGAGCAGTACCCTAACAAACAGACCATATACCGCGCGCGATCTTTCCTTCCTCTTCCTTGTCCTATTCTCATCCCTTACTTACACACACTGCAACACGCACTACACTACCTCACATGCCGGCAGACCGGTCGGATTTGGAGCTTGTCCCGAATGGAGTGTATACCTTTTTTAGTTTATTGATTGCTTGTTCGTGTTTCCGGGCGCGTCAACTGCTAAGGCTCCATAAGTGTGGTTCATATTTTTGTCGCGGGAGGAGACGATGATTTTCCCCCGCTGGATGGCGAAAACCGGCGCCGACCTACCGTCGGCTAGCGGGGTTTACCCTGACCAGGTATCTCCCACCAGCGGGTCACCGTCCCAGCGGTGACAAACTCTAAGCTCCCGACCGGTCTCCGGCATTTGTTGTAGAGTAGTGCATGAGTGTGTGTGAGTAAGGGGTGAGGATAACACAAAGACGGGGGAGGAAAGATCTTGCACGCTCCGTGGCCCGTTTTTAAGGGGGCTTCTCCGGCATTCACCTGATGTTGATTGGAGAAACCACGGACATCTATCGATCAGGGCAGCCGACCGCTAGAATTCTTCTTCAGACAGCGTTTAAACTCGACCCAGCTGTCTAGCTAGTGTCGGAAATCCTGTAACCGTTAGGACTGAAGATTCCCCGGTCAGAGGTACTGCAGTGACATCAGTTAGTGCCCTGCGTCACCTTCAAGTCTCCATGTTGTACCTGTTTTGGGAATACCCCGCTATGTGACAGGTTGGCGCCGCCTGACATTACTACCTAGCGGAGATCACCGCCACCTCACGAGGGAAAACAAGAACATATACTAATGACTTACCTAACTACCCCTGACTAATGACCTTAGCAGTTGACGCGCCCTGAATAATCAATAAAAAACTAATAACATCAGTTTATGAAACCTAGATATTTGTGAACATTTTCATTACGATAAATTAAATTAGTTTATTATGTATTAAATAATCTCGTGTTCCCTATTTGTAGACGGTAACGGGCAAAGTGAAAGTAAAACAAAATAATTTTGTTTAGACATTAGATTGAAAAATACACATTAATATAATGACACCCTTTTAAAGTTAATGTTAATATCATTGAGCTGAGTCTCAACACTTCGGACGTCACGCACTAATTAATTATATCAAAAGCTGTAATCGAAATCCGTTACCGAAATTGAGGAAATAGCACTAGCATGACGAGTTTTTTTTCCAGAGTCTGCATCGAGCAATATGGAACTCGTTAATTAGCACGATGCCTCCCATCCACCTAACTGTAACATCGGTTCGGAGACGCTTTGCCGTTTAATGAATCAAGGACTAAGGATATACTGCGGGCACCTTGAATTCAACTGGTGTTGAAAACATGCATTATATTTTGTGTTAATATACATTTTAATTATTTTAAAAATCACTCTTTTAGCTGTACAATATTATTTCTATATATTCGATTCGTGTATGGTTTGATTGTGTTACATACTAAGATTCCGAATTCCAATATTATTAGGGTCCTCTATAGTTTTGTCATTCTTAGGCGACCTTAGAATTAATCAATAAAGCTCAGCTTCACTTACCCATACATCACGTAGATAAAACTGTTTTAGTCGTTAAAATTATATTCCAGTTTTCAATAATTGTACTTACCTATGAAACAAGAAAAAACATACAACATTGTACTTTTGAATATGTTGCTTCTTATCGTTAGTTTCAGTTATAGTTATTAGAAAATGTCCTAATCGCGACCTATGAAGTTAAGTGTTCTGGATATATTTTCAAAACAAAGGAATCTAAGATTGAAATTGTGTATTACTTGGCATACGTCATTTATGAACAACATTCACACTCTCGTTTTAGGCTTCCTTTTCTCTTTAATTTTTAATTTATTTCTGTTCTAATTTCACTTCTGTCAAATTCACTTTGGGATCGTATAAATTACACTACAACGTTTTCGTTAATTTGTGATTTTTCTTCTTCTCCTTCTTCTCCTTCTTCTTCTTCTTCTTCTTCTTCTTCTTCTTATTATTATTATTATTATTATTATTATTACATTCGTTAAACATCCTCTTCCCGACCTAAAACCTTACAACGAGCAACTCATTGTCAGTCCGACCGATCTCTACCTCGTCAATTCCCAAGGAAAGTGAAGGAGTTTATTTCTACTGAATGAAGACGAAAGAACGAAGATGACTTCCGCAGGGGCTACCTGAAACGAGAGGGGGAGCTGGGGAAACTTGCCACAGACCTAGACTTAATTGAGGCCCAAACTTTTTTTCGTTCAAAAGAAATTTATAAAAATGTATTCATCTCTAATCCAGATTTAAGGTTATAAGTAATTTCTAATGCATGGAAAAATGAATTATGTTTATGAAATGGAGAGGAGGGAATGTTTTGTTTGAAATGACGAGCTCCAGGAGATCAACTGCCCGAGGACCCTCGTTTTCTTAGGATAACCTTGGACTTTAAGGCAAGGTCATTTTATTCCGTTCCGGTAACGATACCGTACTGGCTCTTGACAGTCTTTTTTGAAAATTGTATTAAAATGTACAATAATGATAATAATTTAAAATGCTTTCGCACAATATTTTGAAAATATAGAACACGTGTGTATGAATAAAGTGTAGTGAAGAAAACATTAATACGTTGCGCTGAACTTACGGAGCAAGACGATTCTGTTATGAGCTTCCTACACCCTAATTTCACCACAGTAGTCTTTTTTACCGATAGGTAATCCCTCAACTATCATACAACTAATTGCGATCGTAAATTTCATTACAAATGTGTAAGAATTTGAAAATTCCAATAAAAAGGTGTGATTTAATCACACCTAATAAAGCATGCGTATGAATTTGGTAAAAGGTATTCAAGAGAAGACGTTTCAAGAAAGCCATGTTGGTACCTATTGCTTGTTTTTCCTAATAGACACTTTGACCTTTAATTCATTTAATTAGAAGATAATTGAACCAATGAAACGACTTAGAAAGTAATAAATTACTTCATGTCATAATACTCATACTATTGTATTAAAACAGAAAAATCCCTTACTAATCACTCAAACATTATGCTTGCATTCTTCCACGCGCTTTGGGCGTAAAAACATCGGTGCCGCGCGTACGAAAAGATTAGGAAAAGAGTACAGAAAGGACATTTGACTGACAGTCATGTCCTTCCGTGAGTACTTTCGTAAGACGAGCATAAAATTCATAGGAACGCCGCATGCATTGTAGGCCTGTACTTTCACTGCTCCGTATCCGAGGGGGAAAAAAACTGTTACAGATAAAGTGCGTGCGTTTGCGAGGATCTAATCGCAAGTGCGAGCACGCAACAGATTTCTAACGCGTTCCATTAGTTCCGCGAGGCAGTGAGAAAGACGCTCTCGTTGTTTCGCAATCATCCAAGCTTCCACGCATCGTTGCCGATGAAGTATGTGAAATACCTACTGGCGTGGGTGTAGAATACATGGTGGGTTCTTTCGTGAAAATGATCTCGTTCTCTTTCTTTCTTCCTGTCTCTCCGTCTCCGTCCCTCTCCTTTCGGGAGGCCCAAGGGCGTAACAGACAGTTTCACTCGGGGGGTATAAAGCGTGGGCCACGCTCCACGGAATCATTGCAGTATCGCTTCCGAAGTGGTTCAGGTGTCTCGTCAGAATGGCTTCTATCGTAAGTATCTGATGATTGTTCGTGTATACTCGTTTGTGATAGCAAAGGAGACAAATATTTCTTCGTGGGGGCTACTGTATATGTTGTACGTTTGGATGATTTTCGATTTTTTTTGCGTGTTTTGAGATGGACCTCGACTTACGTGAATAAAATCTTTGCGTGTTATTTTGCGCTCTGTGCTCTGGCCACATTTTTTTCTAAGTTTATAACGTCAGTGATACATTAATGACAAAAAGTGTGATTGCGTGTTCGACTATTGAATTGGCCAATTTTTTTGCAATAGCGAAATTTTCTTTCGACGTATTCGGTGACACTCTAAAAAGTACAAGTAAGAACTTGATTTTCGGTTTTCGAAATTAGTATGATGAAAGAGAACTACGAGATTTTTATTTATAATACATTTTTAACTTAAAAATAAAGAGAAAATTCTAAAAACTATTTTTAACTATAAATATATAGTGGAAATAATTAAATCATTGGCCAGTTTTAATTCTTGATATGTTTCATATTTTTTGGCAAGTTAACCGCGATTAATTAATTAATTAATTAATTAATTAATTAATTAATTAATTAATTAATTAAAGAAAGAAGGAGCGAGACCTACACATGAGAAGAAAGAGAAAGTGGGATGTTCTTGTTTTTATGAAAAGTGTAATCGATAAACCAATGAGTGAAAAGGGTCATCATAATCAGTTAGTAGGTAACGAAAAACATTATTGTTGTTATTATTTTAAGTTATGTTTTGAAATTATGATTAAGCGCTGCAAAATGAACCTCTGTCACGTTGCATTTAATGATTATATCGACGGAGTGCAGAAGCATCTTCTTTCAGGCCATTCTTGTACATTGTACAATTAAACATCTCTCTATGGGAAAGCTACCATGTTTTTATAATTGGTCAATTTTTGTCTGACAATATTAATTTGAAAATCTGAACAACCTTGAAAAGAGGCACATTAGAACATTTTGCGGTAATGGTCGCGAGCTCTTAGTAACGCCACCTTGTTTCCACATTATTCTCAACAAGATCAGCCATAAGGTTTCTTGTAAAAGGATTTGGCACAGGGGGATGTAATCATCGACCGAGCTCCAGTTTGGCCGCGCAAACGTGTTCACCACTTCTTCTGAACGAAATATGAACGTATTAAAAATTATTTAGTTTCACTTGTTCATCATTTCTTCTGAACAAGTTAAACTAAATAATTTTATAACAAAAAGGAGCATGAAGTTAATGAAAATTACTAGGTGTTCAATTATAGAAAGTTTATTCCTTCCGTGCAAAGACGTAACACTGAACTATAAGGAAGAGAGCTGCATGTGAACGTTGCTTTAAAATTTAAAAAAAACAAAACACATTTACGTGCACTGATGCATGAACACTTTCACTCGCACTTTGTCGCAGTATTTATAAATTGGCTCAACATTGCATCTAGATCGTTGCGTAACTGGAGCGACTGGAGTCCTCCAAAACAATTATCGCCCAGCCCATGAAAGTCCGCTGCAGCAAGAACCTTGGGACGGAAGTGGCTGGTAGAAAGGATACCAGTTACGTCCGTTAAAAGCGACCTTGCACTGTATCCTGGATAGAATAGAATTCATGTGCAGAGTCACTACAAAGAGTAAAAGTAGTCACTTGAAGGTTTTTCGCACTTGGTTTTTGATGATTGTTTTCTTCCCGATTGGGTAGCGGTGCCACCTGTCATTACGCGGAGGGGCGCAAGGGAATAGGAAAACACCCTGAATTTCTGTGTCCTTATTCAAATTGTACAAATCAAGTATGCTCGTTTTTCAATTTATGCAAAAATATATGAATTCGAAAAAAAGGCCATTAAGGATGGTGCGTGTTGGTGAGAAGTAGCAAGATAGATGATGACGGGTTTAAGGGAATGCGATCCCAATTAATTATCGGCGTGACTGAGGCAAGATAGTGGCACGAAAGGAGTAAGAAAGTTACATCTTTAGTGGCATAGAATAAATGGAAGTTGAATCCATGTACTCTAATTAAACTGTATCTTAATTGGGACGTCATTACAATTTCTATTAAGCAATTCGATAAATAATAAGTAATACGTTCTTGTCAGAATTTTATAATTTTTAAGAAAAATATTTCTCAATGACTATTTCCAATAATTATAAATGGTCTATTTCGGGTAATATTGAACATTTAAAGATCAATCAAAAATAATTCTAATTTGCTATTACAATGCTAATTTGCCGAAATTAATACACTTCCGTGTTTTGTATTCACCATTATTCTCCCCCTCAATGTTGCATACTCAGAGAAAAAAATACTTCTTTCATAGAGCGGTAGAATTGTTACAATGATGAAAGGGACAATTCATCCCTCTGTTCATAAATGCTCTCGTCACCTTTTTGAGATGATAATAATTGATGAGCAGTTGAATTGCTTGCAACCCCAAAACAATAATAAAAATGAAATTAGAGAACATTATATTATTTGTTAATTAATGCCGCTATTGTCCGTGATATTTCAGATGAAACGTTTTTAAAATTACATCAGAAATACCTAATATCGACATTTAATCCTTTTATATAAGAAAATAAAATCATTATTTTGGCCTAATCTTATTCCCATTTCATCTGTTTCAATTCAGTATCTTTTCTTAACATTTGAATGCATTGATGTCTTTTTTATCACATAACACAGCTCAAATGGTACAGGTTACGTGTAGGGAAAGTTATCTCCGCCGTATCATGCTCCACTGAGCCCTTACGAAATTAAGGTTTCTAGCGTTTTGCAGCAACGCGTAATGGTCAGCGACGCGGAACCGAATTTCCTCAGCTTTCTCGCACTTCAGGAATGTAAAATTTCACATCCTCTAAAGGCAGCTATGATTCCTACCTGCTGCTTCCGCAGCCGGTACCAGGCTAGTTGTGTAATAATTGCATTAGCGTGATACCAAATTAGCACTGGCAAGGAGTACTAATGAGAAGGATAAGAGAACAGGAATAGCGCTTTCTCCGCGCACAATTAATGCGAAAACGCTCTACAGAATAAAAGTCTTTTAAGTCACATTTCCCGTGTTTAAGGGAGTACGACCAGTTTACAGTACGAGCATCGTTCCCAGTTTCATGGAGATACGAGTATTTCGTATAGGTAGCGCATTCATATACTTTACAATTCCCTGCGCCACTTCGTTTCTAATCTTGAGTTGGGGGGAGTTTCTTCACTTTTCGCAGTATATTGCCTTTTTCTGTTACGTAATGTTATCTAAAGGGTCGGACGGGCACTTCTTTGCTTGTTTTTTTTTTTTACCCCTTTATCCTTCCCTTGTTTACAATGTGTTTTCTTAAATCTGTATATTTCGCTCTTCATTGTATCGTCAGGTCTGTTTAGTATTTCGCTTATTTCTTGAAAAGATTTACCCTTTCTGGATCAGAGGAATGCTGTTTTTGCTCCTTATCTATTCTTTCCACACCTTTTTCCCCATTACTGAATAATTATCTTCTATACCACAGATACTGCTCCACAATTGTCCCAGCCGATGTCACGACAAGCAGTTGCTCTTCACGGAATACACTGAGATTCCGAGTCGAATATTTGTTTGACGTCATGATCACGAATAGGACCTACTTGTTTGACGTCCTGATCACGAATAGGGTCTACATGTTTGATGTCCTGATCAATGATCCTTCTTATGGTTGCGTACTACATGGCGACTCTTGAAGGTCGCAAAGGTGGTAACGTCTTTTCAGTCTCTTTTAGTAACGAACAGGAGTTCAATGACCTTCCATCTTACTCTTTTCGCATTTCACATATCAGTTTGTAATTTTTTTGGCATGTATATGTGACAATAGCTCGTTGATTACCTTTTGATTCACTATGTAATTAACTGCTATTATTTCGTGTTATTGGATTCAGGCCCGGATTAAGCACGGAGCGTCTACTCTGAGACCCCTGCAGTAAAGGGGCTTCCGATAATTCCATAAAAACACGAAGGAAGTTCCTTCCCCCCCAAAATGATAGAAAACGGAAATAAATGAAAGAAAAGGCGGGTAAATGCTGCACTCACAAAAATCCCTTGCTTCGAGAACGCGCTCGAGAAAGAAGCAACTTTCTGTTTTCGTGGTCAATTACCCTTGTTGCAAAGAGTTATACTGATAGAAACTTTTCTTATTTTGAGTGCTATCGTTCGGGATCTGTATTTCCAACCGGATCGTGTTATATCAGCAACCGGATCGTGTCATACTGCGTTTGTCGGTCTTCGCTGAACTCATTCAAACGAGCTTGCTCCCTCAAGTCCCATTTAATCTTACGTCCGGCGCGAAACTTGGTGTCAGGCGGTTCTGGGTTGACAAATTGATCAACTTTCTCAAAATAGCTGTTGTAGCGTACTACCATTCTTTGCCTACCCACCTGGACAAAAATTCCGTTTCATACGCATTATTTCAACTTTAAATTTGCAGCTGTCCCTCCTCGTCACGTTTCTCTTCTTGGAATAGGGAAATCGAATCATTATCACCGGCGAGATTTGAGACACTGACCGCTTACTTGATCGTTCGATAAAAAAAAATCACTTCTCTCAGAGCGCCCGACGTGTTCAGACGAAAAAGATGAAGTGACCAGCGGCGGTGTGGTAGTTGATGCTTCGAATGACGATTCCCACGGAATTAAATGATCTTAAACGAACAGGAAGCTCATTTCAAGTTTTTGGCAGATTGTGAAAATTGTATACTTTATCATATAACATCCAATAAAGAAAAACTGGCATGCAGCTTCATGAAATCAACAAAACACTTCCCAAAACGAAAGCTTGCGGCGTATCATGAATGACAATTAAAGAAGGCTTCTTTCAGAAAGAATACCTAAAACAGCTTTTCTTGCAAAGCCAAAGTATCACGGGTGCACATAAATATTTTCAAATCATCAATACAGTTATGAAGAAAGAAGTAACTTGTTGTGTCTAGAGGCGAAGTATTAATGTACGTAGGTACTCATTTGGTCAGGGTTACCACGAAAGAGAGCACCTATGCTTTTCTGTTCTGAATCGTCACAGGGAACGAAACATGGTGCCACTTTTTGGAGCCCGAGAGCACACGGCAAAGCAAACAATGGGAACACTTCTCTCCTCCGCCAAAGAAATCCAAAACTGTTCACAAAAGTGTCGGTAAAATCATGATGATTTCGACTACAGAGGCTCTGTCGACTTCATCGAACGTGCAGCTCCAATAAATTTGAGGCACTATGATGATACTGTAGGGTCTGAGAAGTCTAAACAAGGAAGGTCTTACAAGGAAATGCAAGAGGGGTGAGGTTGTGGATTCGACAGCGATTTAATACTCTTGATTGATCGTCTAGATCCCAGTGTGATAAATGTATCGATACTTACTTTTCAATTTAATATTTTAAACAACATTCCATGTTGCTTTTTAGCAAAAGTTCAGATTTCACTGCACTTCCTCTCATATGTCTCTAAGTAAATTGACACCTGCAGGGATATTAATCCTTTCCTGTCGATTTTCTTTTTCGAGTTCAACTTGATGTTTTAACCAACGTTTTGGACACCAGTTGGCCCGCGACGGATCCAACATGCATTCTCGAGGGCCTTCTGGACCCCGCTCGTGGTTGTATAATAAACCTCCGTCACCTTCAAGAGAATTTCTTTAAAAGCAAATGGCACTGTGAAAGGAACGTCACTTCATCCAATTACTAAACTAAGGAATGCTTAAATATTTACATTGCCTTGATATATTCAGGGGCGGGTCCAGAGGCAAATTTCGGGAGGGGAATTTCAAAATGTTTTGGTTGAATGTGTCATATTACAGAGTTGGTAAAATGTTGCAGGCTACCCTCAGTTCATGTTGCGATTAGATTTTATGTGTATGTATTTAAAATAATTTTCAAAAAATATTTTACTTGAAAGTTTCGCAACAAGTTAAAATTAATAGATACTGAACATTTTAGGTAGAAGGGGGGGGGGATTTTCTTGATTTCCCTTCTGTGGATCCACGTCTGATGTATTGTATAAGCAGTCATACACCCGATTAGCCAAAAAGGATTTTGTTTCACTTCAATTGTACGTGAATATTAAAAATATCAAAATGTTTATGTATTGCTTTTCATGTAAATGTAAATAAAACATGTTAACTGTGTTTTCTACATGTGTGCTTTGAAATTTCTCCTTGACAAGCAGGAAGACATTATCTGTGACTGTAAAAAGGGTAGAAATGATGATTGATATATCTGATATTTTTATTTCTAATTAATGTTATGGCTCTCAATAAAGATTCCCTACTTTAGATCACATAAACATGAGTTACATACTACCCAACAAATAAAAGTTTTTACTACTACAATATTCCAGAGAAATGTATGTCACATCACTCAGTTTTCTTAACAAATATTGTTTGGCATAACTAAGAAGAAAATCAAATTTATATTTTTATTGCTCCTAAGCAAATATCAGAATTAAAAACCATAATTGAAGAGTGAATTGTATTGTAACAGACAGTGCTACAGCCCCTGCAAGGGTTAATCTGACCCTGATTGAAAGAAATACAGGTACACATTTGACATCCAGAGAGAATACAAGTACCCTCCTACTTGTATTCTCTGTGGATGTCAAAGAGATGAGTCCTAATGATCAGGCAGTGTCAAATCACCACATGGTCAGTGGTGAACTTATTTGCCTTCCCCCAGGCTATACTTTGCTACAAAATGAGACTGTCCTAGTTAGAATACATTGTTTTGTCACCCTATTTTCTTTGCACCAGCCAATGATTATCGGTGGTAGATGAAATTTGAGTCATCCTTAATCTTATTGATTCCAGCCATTAGTACTTTCCAGTTGTTGCATTCTTGTTTTGTGTCCATATGACAATTCATACTTCAGTGGGATATGTGAATAGATGTTGGGGAGAATTTACATCAGACATTTTTCAATCAAGTAACTGAAACATTTAAGAAGTGTCCCTTATTTGATTCTTAACTTCATAAGAATAGAATAGTTTTGCACTTCCTCTCAAACAAAATTTTATGTGAAAATTTCTGTTCTAGTACTAACTTTATAGCTTTGTATTGGTAACTAATAAAGAAAGTACCTAATTGAATATGAATAAGTAGGCTAATCCCTTTTTAATTGATGGACCATTCTAAATTATTAAGTTTGACAAGCCTGCACCATTTAAAATCTAGAACTGTTTTCAGTGCTTGTACTATGAAGTAGACTGCAAGGATCAGTAGAAATACCTGCCGATTTATTTTTACAAAAGACACCTCAAAGGAGATAATACAAATTTTCTCATCAGTGTTTCAGAACTGTCATTTATTTTATCAACAATGCATTCACATAACCAATAATTATTTACGTTTATGATAGAAATCCTTTTGCATGTCAATTGAATCCAACCTTATCCAATAGATATAAATAAATAGTCTGTTCATTTTTTTTTTATTTAAAAAGTCCTACGTATTTTAAAAATAAACATAAACTTGAATATTGCATAACTACTTCACAAACCAGGCTATTTTGGCACTTCCTCTTTTTTGCCTTTATGTCCCTTATCTATATATGTTATGTCTGTTTAGGATGAAACATTTTCAAATATGAAATCAACAATGAATAGGCTACCTACTAAATTATGTTGTACCCTTTACACTTCCTCAAAAATTGGCATCAAGGCCCAAGATTCAGGGGGCCCAATATGAATTTGGTGAATGGACATATGATAGGAACAAGATGCAGCCTACTATTAGTTTTTGAGTTCATGAACTTGGCTTCAAGAGAACAAAAAAGTGTAGACATCCTTAGTTCAGCATTTACAGTAAAGAAATTAAAATATAATATCTAGTGAAATTGTATTAATAATACTAGAGTTGTTGCATCCCACCTAAAGTAACATTATGATAAACTCTTTATTTTTAACATGAAGTTTCACATTAAAACCACTTTTTTGATGTATTATTTTCAAAAAAGCTAGTGAGTGTGTTTCTGCTATCGGTTAGAATCATAACACTAATGAAAACTTGAACATTGAATTCTTGGACTTTATCATACCTTTCATGAAGATTCTTAGGGTGAATAGTTTCTCTAGCCTCCTCCTTAAGAGGCATAATGACCCCATTGCGCATAAAACACATAATCTACGCTAACATTACTGAGTCCACATACAAATATGTTCATTTTTTTCACTTTAATTAAAATAATTTACAGTAATAGCTATTATCATTACCATACTTGTTTTTGTTATCCTAATGTTCTCTTTATTTGTTATCAACACCAGAAGCTTTAAAAGTTAAAAAGTCTACACATCATAACTTCCAAACCGCCATTGAGCTCCTCAATTTTCAGATATACACTATATAAAGGAACTAGACATTTTTAATTGACTTTCATAAATCTTACTTATATGTAATACACATGAAATTGTTAACAGAATGCACAGCTTCCTAATTCAGACAATTTTATCCTATTATTTGTCATAATGTTAGTTTTCAACTACTAGTTCATTATACTCAGGTGGTTCTTAAATATTTATTTCCATTTATCAATTATTTGGGATCATAGCTTCTAAACTTCTTAATAGGATGTTTCTGATCTGATTAAAAGTACCTTTTTATCAAATTTTAGTAAAGGCAAAGAAATTCATGACTGAAAGCAATCAATAATGTCTTAAATAAAACAGCTGAATGAACTGAAACATTTTGATTTCTAGTAAAATTCAAATTTTTAGTTAGAGGAAATACTGAATAATTGTGTTAAAGATAAAATTACTTTTCTACATTGAATGTATTTACTTTTAGGTTCTTTTCATTCTTGATTCATAACCAAACAAAAATCTAAAATATCAAATATACATTAATCTACAATCTTTGAGGTTCAAATTTTTTTCTTGCATTCTCTGAAGAACACCTAAGATTGATTAGAAAGCAAATATAAAGTATCTGCAAGTTTCTTAAAAGCTGGGTAAAGTAGTTCAGGTTGGTTAGTTGGTACCAATTGCTCTTACCAAAAAATAATCACATCTATATTTATATATTAGGCAACTTTTCTGAAGTAATGCCTTTGTTGTATAAAACTTAACTTTTAGTTTGTGAAATTAGTAACAAAAAAAAAGAGGAAAAACTAATCATATTTTCTTTGCAGTGGAACTGCTGTTTGTTGCTTTTGGTAGCTGTATCTATCAAAGCTCAGTATCAAGGACCTTCTTACGATGAACCAAAGCAACAATATCAACCTCAACCACAGCAGTACCGGGAACCAGCAAATTACGCTGGTCAAGAGCCACGACGACCACTTCCTGCAATCATTATGCACAAACAAGCACTGACACAAGATGGGGCTTTTAACTTTGCCTTTGCTGCTGACAATGGACTTCAGCAAGGAGAAACAATTAATCCTGATGGTAGCAGAACTGGGTCTTATTCTTATGTGGACCCACATGGAAAAACAATTAAGGTAACTGAATATTGCAAGAATATGTGTCTTATAAGATAATGAGTATACTTACATTCATTCTTGTTATTTGGGGTTCAAAGTATATTGTGAACTCATTGATCACAATAAAGGGGTTTTCTAGATGTTAAGAACATTACAAGTTGCACAGTTCAAAATTGAATATGGCATGCTTCTGATTTTATGTATTGCTGTTCTTTAATTTCTACATTCTTAGCAATACAATTGTAGTAATTAAATTTGGAAAAGTAAAGAGTCATACTGTGATGTCTGAAATCATACTCTGCTCCACTTATACAAGGAAAGTAGCCCAACCCAAAAATACAAAATTATTTGTATGAAAGTAAAGGATATTGTGTTTTTGAAATATTATAGTTTATGATAATTGAATAAAATGAAATCAAAAGTAGCTTCTTTCCAATTCACTGGAGGGAAAGCATGTTTTGATTATTCAGACACCAAAATGAATTTTGAAACTTTTATTTTTCTTTAAGAATAGTTATTAATATAATTATTAGTTTGAACATTTAAGTACCAATACGGGGAATCAACATTCAAATTTATCTTGAGAACAATGATGATGCTGAGTTCAACTCACAGACCACACAAAAGTTTTGAATTTCATAGATGAACATATTTAGCAACATCATAAGTATAATGAATGGTAAATGTATGTCTTGTGTGGTGATTTCAAGTGACGCTTGATTCTACAAAGTGGAAAGAATATATACCAGTTTTAATTGCCATTTCTATGATGTTACTTGATAAAATGGTACACAATATATCTTCAATTTAGTCTGAATTAATATAAAACTGTTAAGGAATTATTTAGTGGTACTATTTAAATAATTCACAATTATTTTTCTACTTTAAAAGTAAATTAGTTTGTGAAAAAAGTAAAAAGTTTGTGAATTCATGACAGTTGCAGTTAACTTCATTTATCACATGTGTGCCTGCAAAATTGAAGCTAAGATGGAGGTACCATTAATGTTCTGAATTTTTGAAACAGGTCAAATACTCTGCTGGTAAAGATGGCTTTAGAGTGTTGGAAGGAGATCATTTGCCGAGAGCTCCTCAACCATCTCCACAAGCTGCTGAACCTGCACCTGCTCCAGCACAATACAACCACCCTCAACCTTCGGGTCCTAGATATTCTGCTCAACCTCCCTTTAGAGCAGGCCCTAGTGTAGCTGGGGCATACAGAGTAAATGGTGGCTATGAAACTCCTAACTTGGGAACTACTGCAATTTTTGGAGGCCCTACTCCTCAGGTACAATCTCGTTAACATGGCCTTCATTTTGTAATAATTTGATGAGTCACAACTTACGACGCAGTTACCTTTTCGTCATAACGGCTTTTCCATCAATTCGAATTATAGTGGTAGTATTACATTCAAATTCAATTACAAGAAATGTTAGCTCTTTTACGGTATCCAAGACCCAATAATCAATACAATTCACGTACTCTATCTGCACTGTTTTTACAGATGCCTACTTTAAAGAAAGTTTCCTAAGTAAACTAAGTTTCCGAACATTATAAAGTAAGGCATTTATTTAACACTAAGAATTTGCTGCAATTTAACTTCAATTTTAAACTTATCTACATTAACCTAACTTCATTGCTAAAGAATTATTCTTACAGGCACTATTGAAGTTTCCGGACCCTACTCCGAACTCAAATTTCCAAGTTATAATTTTTTTTCTTTTCACAGCCGAAACCAATCTACCAAGTAAGAGAAGATCATGAACCTTCTCTCTTCCGAGCAAGTTCGCCCGCCCAAATTCCTGCAAGCTATCAGCAACCAAGACCACGACCTGCTCCATCTCGTGAAGTTGACTACAACGAAGAGAAAAACAATGAGCCTCATTCTTTTGGAAGCGGTTATTCCTTCGAATTCAGCGGCTAAATTTCTAATCTACAAACATATCTAGGCTGAACAAATTACTTCCTGTTACCTTTTCATACTATGTTAATTTTTGAATAAACTTGTTACTTAAAAAATCTTTACCTGAAACTGCAAGCTCTTGAATCACTCAACCTGGCCACCTATATGAATTCCAATACTTACCTGTTAATACCCTGCATTTATCTTGAAAGGAGAGAATGGAAGTGAATATGGGATCTACTTCACAAGTTTGAAGGAGTAGGACAAGTTACACCAGTTTGCACAAATTCATGTTAATTAAGTGATTTAGGTCCACTCTTCCTCCCACTTCAACACCAACTCTCCACAACAAGAGTAATACAGGTATTTAGGAAAGAAAGTTTATTGTAAATTTATAAAAAACAATATATTACAATACAAAAACAAATTTTCATTTTCAAATTTCGAGTTTTGAGCAAACAAGATTCCCTGAGGTGATATGCAGTCTTAATTTTCAGTACAAACTAGCACGAATACATTACAACAGCGAAACAGATTGCAAGTAATGTCACAGATTAAGGCACTTTCAAACAATTCTAAGCCTACTAATTAGTCAACCTATGACAAAACTTTGATACAATCAAACACTTTGATATAAAAGTACAAAAATTTACTTGGTTCTCATGTGACTATGGAAAAGGATGTGATAAGACCAGGTTATTATAAATAAGGCACATGGTTATCATACATAGCACAGAGCTTTACTTTCCTGAATAACAACATTCATGCTGATGCAATTAGTAAGTGGTTATGTCTGGGTTACAATCAACAGATACTTCAAAAACTCAGATTTTACACAAGTGATCCCATCTAGAAAAAATAGCACTTTCCCCAGTCCATCATAGCTTAGTTACGGGAATTTTGGTCACAGTCACGGCTTATGTGACCAGTCTTGCCGCAAGTGTAGCAGCTCTTGCTGGCTCCTCCCTCCGGGCAGTTACGGGCAATATGGCCCGTCTTCTTGCAGTTGTAGCACGGCGCGTTGCGGCCGAAGTCGCCAAACGACTCGGGGCATTCCCGAGCAATATGGCCAGTCTTGTTGCAGTTGTAGCAGGAAGGTCCATCGGAGCTCTGCCTGCAATCCCTGGAGATGTGCCCCAGCTCGTTGCAACGGTAGCACCGATCCTGCTCTTGCCTGCAGTCGCGGGCGAAGTGGCCGTATTCATTGCACTTGTAACATTTACTGTCCCCGCGGCCGCCACCGCCACCACCACGGCCAAACATACCGTTTTCCGGACATTCTCGGGCAAAATGCCCCGTGCGAGAACACTTGTAACATGTACTTGAACTCATTATCGAAATCCGAAAAGACGGTAAAACGAAAAAGAACGGTACTAGAACACCCTACTCCAACAACACCACGTGGAACAGTGAACGAGGAACCCCGTTTCCTTCTAGTTCCGCTAGACGCAAAGCCTTCTGGATGCCCGGATCATCCCGTACTACGAAAGTTGATTGAACCTTTAAAGAAAAGATGTAATTACAAAATAACGAAAATAAACTAATATTTATCAAGAAAAATATGTGAAAATGCAAAAAATAATTTACTACTTAAAAATACTTACTAATTATGATTCTAATTTTAAAAACATACGATCAATAGTTGTTTAATAGAGGAATCGTTAGTCAAATGCTAATGTTTAAACAGCACTCAACTAAATGTTTTAATTACTATTATTGTATTAAAATTATTAATTATTTTTTAAAATTATAAATCGTACCTTATATTGTTGAAGAAATAGTAATTTTGGATTTTGATCAACAAGGAAGTGAATGAGATATCATAAAAAGGAATGATGTGTTTGTTTGAAGTGTGCGTTATTGCACTGCTTGTCTAATAATATTTGTAGACTGAACAATGGAAGTATGTACAACTTAATAAAGATTTTACGATTTTTTATCAAGTAGGCAGTGGAATTCTCCACTTACATATTGTTACTCTGTGACATTCGGAATCAGTTCTGAACTTCTGAATACCAAGGTGCAAGGACAAGCCGAGTTGCAAACTCCTTGACTAAGGGTTCAGCTTGTGTTTGCGTTTCGGGTTCGTGATATTAGACCTTTTGCTGAATCGAAGGAAAAAAATGGCAGAGGATTGTGAAAAACCTCTCTCACCGCCTATGAATTTTGAGGAAAAAGACGAAGAAGGAGAAGAGGGTGATGATGATGATTTCCTTCCAAAAGGACGCGGTCGGGGAGCATTCAGGTAATATTCGTGATACCCGGCAATGCCCTTCAAGTTTTTTGGCAAAGTAAGATTGAGATAAGCGGCGCAGCTTCGCTCACGATGTACAGGGAAATTGAAGGGGAAAAATTGCTAGATTCACGTACATTTCTGCATGAGAAACATTACTGTAAAATAGGCTTTTCTTGTTATTGAAGTAATGCATGTGTTGGCAGAGGTGCACCTCGAGGAGGAGTGCATGAGTTTGGACCTCCACCAAGAGGACCACCTCCAGGTCATGGCCCACCCCCACCAAGATTCCGAGGTAGAGGCTATGGCCCCCGTGGTCCACCATTCAGAGGGCCACCTCCACCACATTTTGGAGGACCCAGGGGCCCTAGATTTCGTGGACCTCCACCTTTTGATCCAAGTTGGGGGCCGATGCCACCCCCTGGAATGCATCCTCACCATATGATGGGACCACCTCCCCCAGGAATGGTATGTGCTACTCGTTTATTTTGCTGCAGGTGTTGAACTATGTGATAGTGATCTTCCAGTAATTTTTTCTTCCATTACGATGGATTATTATTATTATAGGAAGTTTGACAGATGGCTGTCAATTATTATTTTTGTACTCTGTTAAAGTTAGTTTTTTCCAGTAGGATATTCATTGTAAATGTTAATTCAATGTTTCTGAATTCTAATGGAACAGATATATTTGGTGTAGATAGTTTCATAAAATTTCAAATGTCATAATAAAAATACTTTGTCAATGTGTGTTAGTTGTTTCAAATACGTGCATCAAAGTTTTTAATTTTGGTGGAATAATCCTTTTTCAATTGCTATAAAGCATGTTCAATTAGTATCTGTTGGAAAGAAAATTTTGTGAGGTCATGAAATGTTAGAGGGCATACTATTTTCTTTACTTCATGTAAAATTACTTTACTTCTTGAAAAATTATGCATAATAATGCATTTAATAATTTTGGACAATCGTAATAAATGAATTATATCATGGTTCAGTATTACAGAACTCGCAATCTATTGCTTTCTTAGTAGCAATACTCTGAAATTTCAACTTCTCTGCTGAATAGTCCCAAGTAGTTAAAACTTGCTGTTCAGCTTAGACAAATTAATGTCTTTGGAAGATCAGAAATAATCTATCTAAAACATGAATGGTTAATTTCAAATGTAAATTTTTTTTCAGTTTACATTAGTATGTTGGCAAATATATTATGCTTTAAATTGCGGTAGCAGAATGTCTAATTATTGTTAGTTTTTATTTAACTACCTTATTTTCAGAAAATTGTTCATTCATGAGGATCCAGTGCACATTACTGAAGAAATTTTTATAGACATGTTTTCTCATTTGCATGCTCTTCAAGTAGCTATGTGATGAGCTTTGGACATATTTCTGTAAAACAGAACTAACACAGCTTTTTGTTAATACATGAGCAAGTGCTATACGTTTTTCTTTTGTATTTTTCTCTTTTTGGAAAAATTATTGATTAAATTAGAGAGATTCTCTTTGTGGGTTAAGTGAAGCATCTTTATTTATTGTATTTTCACTGTATACAATTCAAGTGCAGTTTCTTGAAATATATAATTTTTATTTAGTATAAAATTAATATATTTATAATAATTTATTTTCACTTTAAAAATAAATATCATTTATATTAGGTGATATTGTGAGTGATGTTTGTTTGTATGCCTTGCATTCTTGAGAAGTTATTTTCAAGAATATGAGCCTAAAGGTATTCGATGCACAAATTTGTTTTTAATCTCTTGAGTAGCATGAAATTAAACACTTGTTATCCAGCTGCATAATTGTGTGAGGTAGTTGCATTAAAGGACACTATTGTGGTGATACATCGGTGACATTTGTATATTTTATAAGTGTGATATTGAGCTTGGTAAGTACTGCAGTACAGAAAGCCATTTAGCGATAAGAAATGCGGGCACTGATTGTACAGTGCATAGTTGCTTTCGTTCTGCAGCAGCCTCCCCCTCACATGATGGGCCACATGGGCATGCCCCCACCGGGACCATATGGGCCCCCTCCCATGGGGTGCCCTCCCCCTCAACAGCAGCAACAACAGCCCCCACCCCAACAGCCTCCCCCAATGAATTCGTCAGGGAGTCCAGGAGGCAATGCTCCTATGGGCAATCCGCCAGTAAGTAGGAATGTTTAACACTGTAGAAATCATCCTTTGTAAAACAGTAAAACCCTAATATTTCAGTTTTATTCTTGCCAGTGGAATGCATCTGCTGGATGTTAAAAAAAATACTTATAAAACTGTTACAAAGTCTCTTTTACAATATAATATATAATTTCTGAATGTCCTTGGCTGGGAGACATTTTTTTCCCATTATTTAACGTTTTCTGCTGGAACTTGCTGCTTGATGTATTATGTACTCAATTGGATGGGTAAATAAGAGCCAATATTCTTGGCTTTTGTGTACTGTATTTGAGAAGAATGAAGAAGTTAATTATATTGGAGTTTTACTGTGTTTTAATGTATTTGCTAGTTGTAGCTTCAACTTTTGTAGATTTTTTCTGTGTTTATCATATTAAATTTTATTTTAACATTCCCATTTACTGCTAGCTTCTTGCACAGCTTTTACTTTTTATTGCAATCGTGGTTCCTTTTCCAGAATTGTGTGTATGTGTGTGCATGTTTTAACTTTGCATATGTTTTATGTAACTGCCAGTAGACGAACACTTTATCAAAGTGACAATTGTAATATTTTTGTGCAGTTGTTTTGTAAAGGCTGGAGAACAAGGTTGATTACGGTTTGTGTGTGCTAAGAAAGAGAGAGGATACATTTCGTTGGATTGGGATATGTTGTACCTACGAGTAATGTTAATTGATATTTTTACTTTGATACTAGTCAATAGAAAGGTAAATTCTTCAAATACTTACCCATCATTTTTTGTCATGTTATTATGTACTGTATGTTTTGCAAAGGAGCTTTGTATTACTCCTTTCAAATATTGAACTGTATATTAAAAAAGTTACTGGTTTCTTTCAAGAGATATGCACCAATCTTTAAATGCAAAAGAAATATTGTATGAAAGTCTTAATACATTACAACAATCTTAGTAGTATAACTGCCAATTAACATTCAAATACCAGCAGATACATTTTAGCAGTAAATGGAGTTTGGTTAGTGTTTTTGAAATTAAATTTTATATTTTAAATTATTATAAATTTTGTAAAATATAAATATATACATTTATAATTTAAATATAAGTTTCATGCGCCAGTCCATGGGATTTCTAATAAGAATTGGAAGAAAATTCATTTCAAAATTTATTTTTAGTTTTATTCATGATCACTGTTTTATCTGCTTTTCAAGACAGGACTAATAGTATTTAGTTTTGTAACCTTATATACCAGATATTGGATCTGTAAAATATTTATTAAAATTTCGCATTTTCTTGTGGCATTTATCTTCACACAAAATTGACTTTATTTGTGAAAGTTTAATTTAAATATTCATTAGCAAATTGATAATTTATTCTTTCACTTTGTAGGGGATCTCTTTCCCAGTTTCTAATTCATTCATCTAATAATAAATATTCATTCAGTTCATCATAGAAATTTCATGTATTTTATATGAACAACAATAATTATTAAAAAAATCTACTACTACATTGACAAATGACTTTATAATATTAATGAATGTGGGTCACTGGGTGGATTCTATTCTGATTTACTTAAAGCTGTTGAAATTTATACAAATATGTCCAATTACCCATCGTTCTGTGTGTAATGAATTGTGTGATTCTAATGTCTGTGAAGCTTTTAATTTCTGTCCATCATGCTGTTTTGGAGATCAGTGCAATTGTGTGCACCTGACAAACCCACCACAATGGAAGCACCTTGAAAAAAATCTAGATTTAGTAGATGATGTAAGCAATAGAAATCTACTTCCATCTACCTTCCGGGGATATTAGATTTTGGCCTGACATTAATTTTTGAAGCTAGGTTGTATTTTAAACATTGTAGTATGTAGTTTGTCTTCAAAAGTTGTGTAAAAATACTGTAGATTATTACATTAGATTTATGAGGGGTGCCACCCCATTGTATTACTTTATGGGAGCAATTATGGTGAAAAACATGGAACAATTGTGGCAGTGTTCTGTTAGCACCACTAGCAAGAATTTAAATATTTGGGGAGAAAATTTATAAAAAACATCCTGTTTGTTTTTTCTTCTTTTGTTGGTTAAAAGTTTCACAAGTGTATGTACACAATGTGTATATTAATTTCGAGATTTTGGTCTAATTTCCTTTCTGTCTGAAAAAGTAGTATTAAAAGTCATTTTATATGAACTATTGTTGACCTTTTTAAAGTTTCCTCAAAATTCTCTCCAAAAATTTTTTTGAATGAATTGCAAGAAATGGTTAAATTGAGGGCCTCTTATCCTAAATGGATATGGACTGTTTGAAGAAGAAACGACCAAGGACAATGTAGAGGAAAATATAGAAGTAGGTTTAAAAGAATAAAGTTAAAGAATTTCCCCATTGGATGCAAATGCAGAGTTGTAGTTATGTTGTCTCAAGATGCCTTTATGTAGCCAACAAAATAAGTTTCCTAAATTTTACAAAATATTCGGGGATTGTATTAAATATAAATAAAGTCTGAGAGTGTTTAAGCCTATTGTAAGTTTTTTTTTAGTTTGTGTTCTTGTTTTTTTTTTTCTGTTGAAAACAAATTAAGCTACTCTCACTGTATTGTTTTTATTCATAATTTACTTATAAATGAAGATGACAAATAATTAAAAAAAACATTTTGATTACTTTAAAACTTGCCTTATCCATCCATGCTTGCCTGAGTCTTTGCTCTGTACATATAATAAAATCTAGGAGGATTTGGCATAGTTCTCCTAAGGTTTTGGCAATTTTAGTAGTTGGAAGTTCACTTAATTTCTCTAATTGTCTCAAAAACTTATAGGAATTTCCAAATTTTGCTTTTTAATCCATTAAAATAATAAAGAAGATGCATACAGAATGATATTTGGGAGAAAAGATAGTAAGTTAAGTGGAGGGTTGATGCTTACCTCTCTTACGTATTCCATGCCACACTAATGATTAAAAAAATCTGTATGAAATGAAAATGAAGAAGAAAGTTTGCAACTTACTGCATTTCATGGTGCATCCAGCATGAAATAATTAGTGTATATGCATATGGAAATAAATTTGGAAAGTATCAAGGAGCTCACTTGCTGAAAATGTAGGGAATTTCATTAACCTAGAAAAATCCATAAATTTATGGAGGTTTTAGAAGTTGGATATTTTAAACATTAAAATATTTTTATTAATTTAGTGAATTTTTTAATTTGGCCTTTTTTAATGGAAAAAACAACAATTAAACAAACAGAAAAAAACATTGAGCAACTTTGATTTTTAAATCAACCAACTTTCCTAAACTCAAAATTAAATAATTTTTTATTGAACTGTATTGTCTGAATGAATCTAATATAAATATTAGTAAAAAACTATAAAATATCTTTATAAAATATTTTTAATTATTATTATATTATTATTATTAGAGCCAGTGCTGCCACTGCATTGTTATTAAATGTGATTTATAATTATTAAATTGCATTAGGAATATAAAACTATTTCTATTAAATTAATAATTGATTTTGAGCGTGTTCTGGAAAGTAAAATTTTAAAAATTATGCACTGGTTACAGGTATTGCCTTCATTTAATGTTTTCTTCAGCTGCGAACCACTCTTCTAAGCTTATCAGAGGGAGGAAAATGCGTGGGAAAACTGGGAAGTTAGGGAAAATTCGTTCCAGAAAACAGTGGTCTCCTCTGGCTTCCTTGTTTTAAACTCTTTCTTACCTTTTCAGTTTTTTTAAATTGATCATTATTCAAGATAATAGAAAACAGTATTTTTTAAGAATTAGGTTATAAGAAATTATTTTGTGCGTTGAAGTGATGTATTTAATGTGGAAAAACAATGTAAGGAGCATCCTGAATGACACTTTTATTGTAGCAGCTCTTGAAGTGCAGTGAATTTATTATTATAAACCACAATTAATAAGCAACATAAATATTTTATTATGAAATAGTTCTATTGCTTGAATGAATTCTAGGCTTGTTTAACAATGATGTTCTTCATGGTATATGTATATAGAGACAGGATTTTTATGCACAATCAAATGCTAAAATATGCATGCAAACATGCATTATCAAATTGCCAAACATTCCACGATGCTAAACCAAATTTACCAGAACATGCACAATCAAATTTGAGTTAGTATATTTCCTGTTTTATTCTCTTTTGTAACAATTTATAATTTTCTCATTTTTACTTTGTTAAATTCATTGTTTTATTAGAAACAAATGTTTTTAAATGTAGAAAATGCTTTCTACGACACGAGACATAATTGGAGCATACTTCAAAGATGAACTTGGAGCTAAGGTGAAGTCAAATTCTGTTTTTTCACCACAAATAATGTTTTTTACATTTTGGAGAAATTTCCAATCAGATTTTGAATTTAATATTTGTATAAGATTCTCCTTAGCAGTGACACTCACTACTCCAAAATCTAATCCCAAAGACATTTTAATGCCTTTAACAAATATTAATGACTCCATGAGAAGTAAACCTACTGCTTTTAAATTCTGAATTGCTGTAGGCAATTTTACAAAATTCAATTTCCAAATTATTTTAATATTTTTTGGAGGCGTGGGTTTTTTAGACTTTCTTTTTGGCATGCAAGCAGACTGAAAGTCTGTTCTTGATTATTTTGTCTCCCATTGTCAGTTATCAAATGATACTGAGTTACGGCTTTGTGTATCTTTATTATCTTTTGTTACTTAATTGCTGGATATTAATTCATTTCACAATTGTTACTCACAGCACTTGTACTTGCTTCACAAATCACAGAATGTGTATTGGAAGGTTAAAATTTGTGGTATAGCAATAAGCAAAGGCAACTCTGTACTGTCAGGATCTAAAAATAATATTCTATTATTACAAAACATGCATCAATTTCAATTTTTGCAAATAATGCAAAAATGGCTTTAAGAGTGTCTAATGTGCCACATAATTTCAAATTGAGCCTTATTAATTGAAAAAGTGTTCAAACATGCATTATGCATGAATTTTGTCTGAAAACTATCAAAACTGGGAAATGTGCATGATAAAGTATGTATTTTTAAAACAAGTATTCCATGAAAAATATATTTACAGTGTTGGAAAGCTGTAGGAAGTGTAAATAAATACATGCATTTGAATGGAAATCGTGTCTCTAGTTTTAATTTACCTATAAATTTCTTATTTTACACTTTCATTTCAGATGTATTACATTTAGTAATTTTAAGTTCTGTCAAAGACATTAAAAATATTAACAAGTAGATAAGTTGTGCTTATATTTCAGGTACTTTAGGATCGTTTAAAGTTGTTAATATTTTTAAATATTCAATATGTTAAATATAACACTTCACTAGCATGATTGGCAGTGTTTGATTATGGAGTGTGAATGAATGTTAAATTTTTTAACAGGTCCCTGCATGGATAAATCGTTTTATTCCTTTGTTACTCTTACTTTCCTTAGATTCTGTTTTCTTGTACATACATGAAGATTTCTTTTTATGTTCTTATAATGAGGTTATTAAAATTAAATTGCTTTGAATTTTTTTGCTTCCAGAATCCTATGCCTGGAATGGATCTCACGGGTGACATTTGGGTAGAAACTAAAACAGGGGAAGGGAAGTCCTACTTTTACAATGCTCGAACTCGAGAAACTACTTGGACTAAACCAGAAGGGCCTAATGTGAAGGTCATTACTCAAGAGCAGGTTAGAATATTGAGCCTATTTTCATGAACTATATTTGAAATGAATTTTAATGTTAGTGTTTATCTTTGGGTTAGGTATTGTTACTTTAGAAATTATGCAAATTTGTGATTTTTATCAATAGGTACTGTCTTGTTGCTTGTTGTGGATTCTGTATTTTTGGGTAGTCAGATTGTGTGTTTTTGGTCTGGAATACACTTTTTCAAGTAGTAGATATTTTTACTTGAGATACTTGTAGCTCTTTTGTTTGGTGGGGTGTTAATTTAAAATATTTGTAATTTCCGTCCATAATTCAGAAGAGTTAAAAAAATAATTCTAGATCGATTCCTTGGATTATTTCATATGTTGTTTATTTATCCCATTTATATTATCTCATTTATATTTCAGTGGTAATCAATACGTTGGTTGTCTTGAAGGAAAAGTTTGGTGAGGTTTTCATTTGTCAAATGAAATGGGGTATTTGCATTTACAGGTGGAAGTGATGGCTCAGGCCGCTGGTGTTAACCCTGGAACCAATGCCCAGGCAGGGCCTCCCCAAGGTGGTGGGAATCCACCAGTAGCTCAGAAGCCAGAAGGAGAGAACGCTAATGGACCTGGTCAGCCTCAGCCTCCTGGGTCTGATCAGCCACCGGTTATGAGTATGTTCAACTTCAAATTACTGTTTGTTGTGTTTTACTTGAGCTTGGTCACTTGTTCTGCAAACATCTGGATTACCTTTTGGAAATACGAGCACTAAAGCTCTTCAATTTATCGTAGATCATAAAAGAATTTTGGTACAAATTCAAGACTAAGATTTAAAGTAGACTTAATTTGTTATCATAGGATATTAATTATTTATTGCTGTTGTCACTAATTCCTCCTGAGTTCTATATTTTATTCTTAATTTTTTGGGTGATTTTGTTGTGGTGTCGTGGTGAATAGCTGTAATGTGTAAGTAAATCAAATGGATTTCTATTAGAAATGGAAGTTTCTGATATTCAAAGAATATCAGGAAGCTACAAAGTGTGGATCAGAAAAATGAAAAAATTGTGGCAAGACATAACATTAACTTAAGGGATTCTAATTTAAATAATAGGGGTCTATTATTATTATCATTATTATTATTATCATCATTATTATCATCATTATTATCATCATTATTATCATCATTATTATCATTATTATTATTATCATTATTATTATTATTATTTTTAATTTTTAGTCAAGAGTTCTGAGATGACCATCACATTAGTGCATTTTTCTGTTGGTTCTTTTGGTAAATATATATAAAATTATTTAAGATGTAGCCTAAGGACATTAAAACGTAATTTGTTTGTAGTGGGTGGGATGCCAAACACAATGCAGCCACCACCAGGCATGATGCAGGGGCCACCCCCTGGAATGCCACCTCCATTTGGTGGACCACCACCTCACTTTGGTGGTCCTCCTCCGTTTGGAATGCCTCCTCCAGGTTTTCCTGGAGGGGCATATGGTGGTGGCTTTGGTGGTATGCCTCCTCCTGGTCCCGGAGGCTGGGGCATGCCACCTCAAATGGGAATGCCTCCGCAGCAACCACCAACTATTTCTGCACCACCAGTTGTAGCTGGTGGTCCTGGTGGAATGGGAGGACCACCCCAGCAGGTGGAAGATACTTCACAGGTTTGTGGAAAATTTAATTGTTGTAGTTATTTTTTATTGAGTTGTTTGTTGAATGCAAAATGTTATGTTAAAAATAATAATTTGGACAAATTTTGAATCTTTGTAAACTTCATATTTTCTTAAAAAAAAAAGGATATAAATGCTGTTTTAAAACATTTTTAACATTGTGAAAAGTTTGTCACGTGGGTCCTTTTCCTTATTTTTGAAATTTATTCTTGTATGCCTTTACCGGTTTTAGTAGATGACTGACTTCTTTACTTGGTCATTTATCATCTTCTTTGCTCCTTAATACTAATATATGGTTGTATTAAGGGCAGATGGTACATTTTAACTTGGTTTTTGCTTTAAATTTTCCCATAAGATAGTTTTATATCTCTGAATTGAAGAAAAAATACAAATGGCCTTATTTCCAGCAATTGTAGGCTTTTTCTTGGGACAAATGTTAATAACCAAAGTTGCATGTGTGATCGTTATTTCATAAATAATTATTTTTATTTATACATGCGGAGAGAAGTGAAAGCATAGTATTCATTCTTGTATATTTTTCTCGGGAACTATTAATGTTACTGAGTTCATATTTTTGAATGTAATTAAATATAAAACTTATGATATACTGAACTATTTTTCTACACTGTTAATGGAAAATGAATAATTCATTGAAAGATGTTTTCAAAATTTTACCTAAGTAAAATAGTAAGATTTTGAACATGCCACATTAATTTATAGTTCACAAGCAAGGAATGGTTACATTTAATAAGTCATAGTGCATCATAAGTTTCATATATGTAGGATACATACTTTTTGAAAGAACTGCACTTGAATGTGAAAAAAATTACTTTTGAAGAAAAAGTGTGTTCAAGTTATGGTTATTCATACCTCTCACCACATTATGTCAACTAATTTCAGGGACATATACATATACATTTAACAACAAATTTAAAAACTTATTCTACACTAATATTAACGATCAAGTAACCACTATGTCTACTATTTACGTGAGAAAAGTCCCTTTTATCTGCTAGTAGATGAATAAGTTTTTCCCCGAGGTGAATGGCATGGATCTTGCACCATGAGTTAAAACTGTTTCCGTGGAAACATCAACTATATTTTCACTTGTTTTCATTGAAAAACAATTGCCATAAAACATCGACTTGCCAAATTTCTTAATTTCTTTATTGTATCCATTTTGTCAGGGAAAAGACGTATCTTAAGAACAAAAAAGAAAAAACTCAACATTCATTGCCAGACATTCAAGCGAAAACAACGGCGGTACAAGTTCTATGAACAAACACAATATCACATTTTTATGAAGTTGCCAATATACCCTAAAGATTTTCTTAGGAAAAAATCCCCAAATTATCCCACAAATGATGGAAAACAGAATTAGAACAGAGAAAGGGGCGTTACTTATTTCAAAAGGCATACAAAGAGAGATATAAATTGCCATTTAAATGGTCGGAATGTGAGAACAGTTTATATATTATATAAGAGGAAAGGTTGCAAATTTTTGAGAAAGAAAACAAAAAATAAAATCTTGTTTTTCAAAATTTATCACCATATGCCTTTAATGTTCTGTGATTGTTCATGTACAGTGTAGTGGAAGTTCATAAGTTGTAAGTAAAATAGTTGGATTTCCATGCATTTTAAATGAAGCTTATTCAGTAAGATTCAATAAAAATTAAGTCTAGTTAGTCATTTTCTTTAAAGTTTTTGTATGTTACAAAGGACATGTTTCACAAAATATGTTAAGCTTATTGTTAATTGTGTTCAATTAATAATTATAAATTTTGAACTTAAAATAGTGATTATCTATTTCTTTCTTCCCGAATAAATACTCGCATGTTTTCTCACGGTAATATTTTGGCACTTTTCTTTCTGCATTGTGTAATAGTAAGTTTCTATTGTATAGTCTCTGCAATTGCTGAACTGCATGCTATCCCATGAACTCTTGATGTGTTTACGGCTATAGAAATAGGCAACATATGAATTGTAGAAGTTTTGCAAAGAAACTAATGGAAAATCAGATTATTAGGGAGTTCAAAATTATAAAATTAAATGTTTAAAATAAAAATATTACTTCAAGAAAATTACTTTCTAACAAGATAATAAGAAATGTACTGGAAATTGTGTCTTTCATTGTAGTGTTGTGTAAGTAAAAATTGTAAATTTGCACTATTGCACAAATTGCACGATTTAATTCCATTTTGGTGCCAAGATGAATCTTGTAAGGTACTGTAAACAACACAAATAGCATATATATATAAACACACGTGCACACACGCACACGTGCGCACGCACACACGCACACGTAGACGCGCGCGCGCACACTCTTCTCTTTCTTCTCTTTGTCCCCTATCCTGATGACTTCATCTGTACTACATCAACATTCACATACAAGCCTGCACCTACTGATTCGTAAGCACATACAAAAAGCGTGGTATACAATTTTTTACCTAACACCAAATATTTATAGTGTTAAAGTATTACATTTCTTTACTTTTCCCTTTTTTTCTTTCACCTTTTCCCTCTGAGTACGTTCATAATTTCGAGTCTCAGTTCCAATTCCATCAATTTATTCGTTCTCACGTTTAACAATCTCGCTTAGCACGTTTTAAGATAGTATAGGTAACTGGCTCCAGCCCCGTTTTTAATATGTTGCTTTCATGGTTCTTTTAGGTACTAATTTCTTTGGTTGCAGACCCAGAGAATTATTACCCTCCACGCAATTTGTTGTTAGGCCTGTTACACGCTCGTTTCGTTGTCGCGCGTAACCTGACGCTGTCGTCAGCTGCGTCGACACTTGTCAATGCTTGTGCATACGCCTCGTAATCAGCGTTCATATGAACACTTATGCGAAGCGGCACGTGAGCGCAAGTGGCGCCGTGCGTTGTGCTACAGCTCAAGCTACAACGTAAGTTAAGTCAACGCGTGTTTTGTAGCTTTCAACGCGCGATAGCTAACAACGGACGTCGTCAGCAACGCTCGTGTGCTGTTTCTTATACGAAGGTTGCCTTTTATGTTTCGGGATTTGGCAACCTTGGTGTTGCTATCTGGCAACTGACAGCTCTATCGTAATGTTGGATGTTTTGTGGTTATCGTTCTCAGAACGTTTTGACGAGCGCTATTTGTGTTGTTTACAGTACCTTACAAGATTCATTTTGGCACCAAAATGGAATTAAATCGTGAACATTTTCGTGCAATTATTTTGTACAACTTTCGACGTGGATTAACTCAGCAACAGTGTATGGATGAACTTAAATTTTTGGCGATGAAGCTCCATCAAGGACAACTGTTTATCGATGGTATGGTGAATTCAGTCGTGGTCGTAGTTTACTCCAAGACGAATTTCGCGAAGGTCGTCCATAATCAGTTGTTCCGAAAACCATTGATGCTGTGCGTGAACTGATATTGCAAGATCATGTGACCTATCGTGAGATTGAGACCTTAGGCATTAGTGGGACCAGCATGCATTCAATATCGCATGAACATTTGTCAAAAAAATTTGTTCGCGTTGGATCCCACACAATTTGTCAATCGGTCAAAAAAAGGCTCGTGTCGATTGGTCGAAAGAAATGCTCCAAAAAAATACGATCGCGGTGCTTCGAAACACGTCTAGGACATAGTGACAGGCGTTGAATCGTGGATTTACGCGTATGAGCCGGAAAGTAAACAGCAGTCGACTGTATGGGTGTTTCAAGATGAGCAAAAACCTAACAAAAGTTGTTCGCGCACGAAGCACTTGGTCGCCTGGTTCGCACACCAAACAGATGGTCACTTTTTTTTTCTTCGGAAAAACTGGACATGTCGCAACCGTACCACTAGAAGAACGCAGAGCAATCAATTCTGAGTGGTACCCAACGATCTCTCTCTCTCTCTTTCTCTCTCGTTCTCTCTTTCTCTCTCGTTCTCTCTTTCTCTCTCTTTCTTTCTTTCTCTTTCTCTTTCGTCTCCGTCTCTCTTCTCTTCTCTCTCTTTCTCTCCTCTTCTCTTTTCTCTTCTCCTTTCATCTCTTTCTCTCTCTTCCTCTCTTTTCTCTCTCCCTCTCTTCTCTCTCTCGTTCTTCTCTTTCTCTCTCGCTCTCTCTTTCCTTTCTCTCTCGTTTCTTTTTTTTTCTCTCTCTTCTCCTCTCTTTTTCGTTCTCTCTTGTCTCCCACTCTCCTCGTTCTCTTGTCTTTTCTCTCGTCTCTCTTTCTCTCATCGTCTCTCCTTTCTCTTCTCGTTCTCTTTCTTCTCTCTCGTTCTATTCTTTCTCTCTCGTTCCTCTATTCTCTCTCGTTCTCTCTCTCTCTCCTTGGATCTCTTTCTCTCTCTCTTTTCTTCTCTCTCTCTTTCTCTTTCTCTCTCTCTCTTCATTCTTCTCTTCTCATCTTTCTTTCTTCTCTCTCTTTTCTTTTCTCGTTCTCTCTTATCTTCTCTTTCTCCTCTGATCTTCTTCTCCTCGTTCTCATCTTTCTCTCTCTCTTCATTATCTCTCTTCTTCTCTCTCTTTTCTTTTCTTCTCTCAATCTTTCTCTTCTCTCTCTCATTATTTTCTCCCTCCTTCTTTTCTCTCTCTCGTATTCTTTCTCTCTCCTCTCTTATTCTTCTCTCTCTTCTCTTATCTCTTCTTTTCTCTTCTCTCTATTTCCCCTCTCTTATTTTCTCTCTCTCTTCTCTCTCTTCTTTTTCTTTCTTTCTCTCTCTCTTTCTTCTCTCTCTCTTATTCTTTCTCTCTCTCTTATTCTTCTCTCTCTCTTTTCTTTTCTCTCTCTCTTTTTCTTTCTCTCTCTCTTTTCTTTCTCTTTTATTCTTTTCTCTCTCTTATTCTTCTCTCTCTCTTTCTCTCTCTCTCATTATTCTTTTTCTCTCTCTCTCTTTCTTCTCTCTCTCTTATTCTCTCTTC